GTTTTCCGGGACCCCCAAGTCCTTAGCCTGCTGCCCCAGAGATTGTGGAAGAGGGAGGCAGCGCTGGGAGGCGAGTGGCTGCAGCCGGTGTTTCCAATTAACATTCCAAAATGGCCTCTTGCTGGCAGCGGGGCGGGCAGACGAGAGGGGAGGGGAGGCCTGCGGCACCCTCGGGCGCAGGGCCCATGCTTAGCTGCAAGGCGCTCCCCATTTCTTGTTCCTGTAAAACCCCAAGCAGCCTCCCCTTCTGTAGGTCCAAGGCTGGGGGGGGGGACCTTGTGTTCTAAGGGGGGTTCTGGAGAATTGGAGCTGGGACCCCTTTTCTGAACCTGCCCTTACTGGGAGAAAGAGCCAGCCAATACCTTCACACTCCCTTTCTTGACTGTGGTTGAGGGTCTGGAGCTGGGACCCCTTTTCTGAACCTGCCCTTACTGGGAGAAAGAGCCAGCCAATACCTTCACACTCCCTTTCTTGACTGTGGTTGAGGGTCTGGGGCAAGCACTGGATTCTTAGTCAGGAGGCCCAGGCCCTCTCAGCCTCTAGCTGACCCAGACACAGCTCTGGCGCCTTAGACTCACATCTAGGAGGGGTTTGCAAACCCATAGGTGCTGGCCTGAGATGGGGTTTGCTTTCCTTTAGCACAGCAGTTACTTAGCACTTGTGGGTGCCAGGTGTGCTTGGGAGCTGTGGAAGAAGAATGAGCTGGGGTCTGTCCTCAAGTGCCCTAAAGCTGGTGGTGTAGCTGGGGCCCTGAAGCCTTATGGGTAAGGGTATGGAGCTCAGGCATGTTACTTCACCGCCCAGGGTCTCAGTTTCCCCATCTCCCCATCTGTGAAGTGGGTCATAGGACAGATGTGGAGAAAACAGGAGAAGATACATATGTAAATACTTGGCACCACCCACGTTGTCCATGGTACAGTGCTTGCCGAGGGGGAGCCCTGGCTGTCGCTGGTCTCATGCAGCCTGTTTGTTCTGGGGGCACTGGCTGGTGACATTGTCAGCCTCTCACCAAGGCCCTGTCTCACCCTGGCCACAGGTGGTTTCAACAAGTTCCAGACAGAGTACTCAGAGCACTGCGAGACCAATGTGGATAGCTCGTCCTCCCCGAGTGGCTCGCCGCCCACCTCGGTGCTGGGCCTGGGGGGCCTCCGCATCAGCTCTGACTGCTCCGATGGTGAGTCGGACCGAGAGCTGCCCAGCAGTGCCACCGAGTCGGACGGCAGCCCTGTGCCATCCAGCCAACCGACCTTCCCCGTCCAGATCCTGCCCTACCTCTACCTCGGCTGCGCCAAGGACTCCACCAACCTGGATGTGCTCGGCAAGTACGGCATCAAGTATATCCTCAATGTCACGCCCAACCTGCCCAACGCCTTCGAGCACGGGGGCGAGTTCACCTACAAGCAGATCCCCATCTCTGACCACTGGAGCCAGAACCTCTCCCAGTTCTTCCCTGAGGCCATCAGCTTCATTGGTAGGTGCTGCCGGGCTTTGGGCAGGGTGGGTGCGCAGGCGTGTCAAGGTGTGTGTGAGACTCTGGGTGTCGCCCGTGCCTGGCCAGGTACCTCTGGGCCTGTTGAGACCTGTGTGTGCCCTACATGTGCCAGCGTGTGCCCATGGGTGTACCCAGGCCCGCTGTGAGTCACAGTGGGCCTCAGGGCCTGAGTCCCAGGCTCCCTACAGCTGTCGGCACCTCCATGGACTCTGCTGTCCAGCTTGGGTTTTCCTGGCTGCGCTGTTTTGGGCTCAGCAAGCTGAAACATCCTAGCCCTCAGACCTCCCACGGGTCTCACTTGCTCTGCGTCATGCCTCAGCACACGTGTCTCTTTAGGATGGGGCTGTCACGGTTCCTCTTTGGGCTTTACAGTGTACCTGTGGGGGCTAAAGGATGGCCTGGAGCCAGAGGCCTCCCCCAAATAGGCAGCTGTTGGAACATGATGACTCTAAGGGGCTCGACAGGGCTCCAGATACTCCTGGCAGTCTGTGGGGCTTAACTGGCATGTAGAGGGTATCCAGAGAGTGTGAGGGAGGCTGAGGAAGGCCTCCCCCAGGGCAGTGTGCTGTGCCGTCTGGCTTAGAGCCCTCTGAGCCCCCAGCATCCGCAGCCTCAGCTGACTCCACGAGTCGCCTTATTTCTGACCTCCCATCCGCTTCCTCCCTGGCCAGCTGGAGGCTGTTAGATTGCAGGTCGTCTTCCTTGGCCTCAGTTCTCACCAGGGTTTGGGGAAGGGACACCAGATCAGGGTGGACATAAACCCTGGGCTCTCTGAGCCTGGTAACCCAGGGTTCTGCCCAGCCTCCGGTGTCAGGGAGAGGGTGGCCCAGGCAGGCTTTTCCTGCTGGCAGCTGTGTCCAGTGGAGGGCGTTTTGGTGTCAGCTGGGCTGGGCTAGCTTTAATAACAGGAAGTGGGAGGCTTCCCCGCCTCATCCGCTTACTGGGAACCAAAACTAGGTGCCTGGCTTGGGGGAAGGAAGGAAGCCAGAGGCCTGGGGGAGGGGCCGCCCAGGAGGACATGGCCAAGAGGGCTCTGGTGCCACCGCGGCATTCGTGTTCTCCCCGGTGAGGGAGGGAGTGGAGGGGGGCCCCCGGATTTCCCAGGGCTGAGCCTGGTTTATAGGGCCTTTATCCTTGAAGTCCCCTTTCTATCTGGGGAGGGGGACAGACCAGGGCGTAGAGGTAGAGGGAACCATCGTCCCCATTTGACAAGTGAAGGAATTTATGCTGTAGCATCCCATAGGACTCAATGGGGCAGGATCAAACACCAGCACCCCCACGGCTCAGCTGCACCCTGAGAGGGCTAAAAATAAAGCCAGCGGAAGTGGTTTTACCTTGGATCACCCGGGAGTAGGTTTGGGGGCCAGGCCTTCCCTGTATCTTGATGTGTCACCACTGGAGGCTTATCGCCACCACCCCCTTCTGCTGCCCCACATCGCAAGGTCAGACAGTGTGATTCCCCATGAAGCCGCAACATTTGTCTCTTCCCCTACTGGTCTTGCTCCCAGTTGGTCCCCAAGTCTGGATGAAGCACCTCCTGCATGTTAGCCCTGGCCACCCTCGTGTAGGGGTGGGGAGGGAAAGGCCTGCCAGGCCAGAGACAGCGAACACCAGATGAGGGGCAATTTGAGAACCTGTGCAGCATCCTGTAGGAGTGCACTGTTTAAGTGACAGCTGTATGCCTCGCTCCCAGTGGGCTCAGGAGGGGGACCTTGAAGGCTGCAGGTCTGTGTCTTGTTAATCTATGTTTCTGGCATGGTGACGTAGCTGCCCCAGGGTTCTGTGGAGGAGCGATGACAGGACTGGCTTGCTCAGTGGCTCAAACCAGTGTTTACTGAGCTCCTACTACATGTCAGGCAGAGGAGTCTGACAGCGGCACTGGGGGGACTGGGAGGGGTGGAGGGGGAGCTGTCAGAACCTGGTTGGCTGTGGTGGGAGTTGTCACAGGCACATGGGCTGGGTGGGCCCCACCTAAGCAAACCCCACTTGTGAAACTTGAGGCGTGGCCCTCATCCCTGACTATTCAGGAGCAGGGCTAAGACCCCAGGGACTGGCTGGTCACAGGGAAGAGATGAATACAGGGCCAGGCACCCCCCCGTTCTCTTGTGGAGGAGCCTCTTCTAGTCTGTTTCCCAGCAGGCTCTCGGGGGTACCCCTGGGAGCTGCCCCAGGTCATGGGCTGGCAGTGGTGGGTGCGATGAGTTAGGGGGAGCCTTTGTGTGGCCTTGGGCTCGTCACTTTGTTGCTGTGTCTGTTTCCTCATTTATAAAATTAGCTTGGTAGCCATGGTGCAGATGACCTGAGAGGATGCAGGTGACACCCTCGGCACAGTCGTAGCACAGTTATGGCAGCAGTAGGACTGGCAGTGATCACACTGTTTATGACACCCTCAGGTCCTCCTCAGAGCCCTGTGACTAAGCCAGCCCCTCTGACAGATGAGAAAACGGAGTTGCAGGGAGGTCCAGTGACTTGGAGTTCATGTGTGGCTGGGCCCTCTCCACAGTCATCCTCTTGACCTCTACCCAAGTCACTGTGCCCCCCGCCTGGGACGTCACCAGGTCCCTTGAGAGTCAGGCAGCACCAGCCCGTCACCATGCCACCTGTGGTGGCTCCCTGGAGGAGGTGCCTCCCTGACCCGTGCCTGTGTGTTTCAGATGAGGCCCGCTCCAAGAAGTGTGGGGTCCTGGTGCACTGCCTGGCCGGCATCAGCCGCTCGGTGACCGTCACGGTGGCCTACCTGATGCAGAAGATGAACCTGTCACTCAACGACGCCTACGACTTTGTCAAGAGGAAAAAGTCCAACATCTCACCCAACTTCAACTTTATGGGGCAGCTGCTGGACTTCGAGCGGACGCTGGGGCTGAGCAGCCCGTGTGACAACCACACCCCCAGCGAGCAGCTCTACTTCTCCACGCCCACCAACCACAACCTGTTCCCGCTCAACACGCTCGAGTCCACGTGAGGCCGGGGGCCCGGGGGCTGGTCCCTCCCCGGTCCTCCCTGGGGCCAGCTGGGAGGGCCCACACCCGCTGCCTCTGGCCTGAGGAACCTGGACATCGCCTGTGCCCAGAGGCCCGGGCTGATGGGCGGCCGAGCTTCCCGCGCCATCTCAGGGCTGGTGCAGCCCCCAGCAAGGCCTCCCCCGGCAGGACTTTCCAGCGGGGCCCTCCACGCTCAGACCCGTGGCTTGGTGAGTCCCGCGGGGGCCCCCTCCTTGTCCCAGGACACTCTTTTCTGCTGATGGCCCAGCCAGTTTGGCTAGTTTTTTTAAAGACACATCCATGGACCTGAGTTTACTTTTTACTTTTGGCAGGTAAATCCGAGCTCCCTGGAGCACAGAGTGTTCATGCTCTTCTTGATTTTTCTTTTTTTAATGAAAAGTGTTATTTTCAGGCTACATGCAACAGTGGATTGTATAAACCAGTATTTCATCCCTTTCTTGATCCTGCGAGAGAGAGAAATGTTCTCAGTTTTGTTTTTCTATTTCAAAAAGCAGTTTTTGGGTTTTTGTTTTTAATGGAGAAGACAAACCCCACGTTGATCTTGACCAAATGCGTTTTGCACATGTGTGAAGCCTCCATTTCTGCAGCAGCCCTTCTTAAAAGGGGTGGCTTGCTGCTCTCCCGGCATCGGGACCCCCAGCCCTGCCCAGACCTCCCACCTCTGCCCAGCCCGACTTGGCACTGCATTTGCCTGTGATGACTGCCGCGGGTTGTGAGTCAGGGGCTGGACAGGCGGCCTTGGTGTTCTCTGCCCTCCCAGCTGCCCTTCTGGTAGTCCCTGAAGACTGCCTGAGGCAGGAGATGGAGGCCCTGTCGCTGTCCTGCTGGACATGGGGCCACGGGGGACTGCCAAACAGTAGCATTAGCCCTTTGGGCTCAGCCCTGGGTTGAGGGGGCTGGGCCCCAGGCCCTTTTCTATATGTACCCACTACTTCTGTCTGTCTCTCTCTCTCTGTTTGTAGCTGAGAGTAGAGGCCCAGGGACCGGGGAAGCTTTTTGGTGGTGCGGCCCAGCCCCACCTCCCGAGTTTCTTCCCACACCCTGGCCTTCGCTCTGGTTCAGCTGCCACCCCCAGCCCCCTTGTCCCGTGGAAGCCTGCCCTGCGCTCATCTCACCCATGCCTTCCATTAAGAAACTCGCACCCATTTCAATCCCAGCGCAGGGATGCAGCGAGGATAGACTAGGAAAGAAAGGGGTGTGAGGCTCTGTCCATCCCCCACCCTGCCCCTGTATCCACAGAACAAAGCCACGGATTCCGTTATCCTCCTCCAGTTCTGTTCCTTCTCCAAGCTCAGTGCTCCCAGGTGTCAGGACTGCATGGGGTCCCCGGGAGGGGTGAGCAGTCGAGCCGGGGTCCCTGAGCGAGCCCACCCTCAGCATGAGAGCGAGGCCACGGAAACTCCGCCCCCACTGCATCTTACCTCACAGGGGTGGTTTTCAGGGATTCTTTAAGGCAGCAGATTAAAATCTTGCCACAGTTGAGAAATTGACAAAAAGCTTCCATGCTGTACATGGTTCTCTTCCTCTCTTTTTTACCTTTAAAAAGAAAAACCCAGAAAGATGCATCAGATTTGTGTAAATGAGGGTATGCCAAGAGGGTGGCCAGTTTTGCTTTATGATCTTATGAAGGAAAATTTGTGACCCTACATATATACACACATACATATATATATCCCGAACCAGCAACGGGACTTTGTTTATATTGCAAATAAATATTATTTTTTCTTTAAAATGACTTGTGTCTGATCAGGGCCTAGGGTCGGGGTGGAGTGGCAAGAACGGGCACTGTGGCCAGTGTCCCAGCTCCTGCTGGGAAGGAGGCAGTGGCCTGGGCCTGCTGAGTGCTGGCTTTGACTGGTCAGCTGGGAGGAGCCACTGGGCCTCTGGAGAAGCTAGAGTTGCGGGCATTTCCCTAGCCGTTCAGGCGCAGGCAGGCAGGGGCATCTGGGCTTTCTCAGAGGGCTTTGGCCCATTGGTTGGCAGGAGATGAGGCTTAGAGAAGTTTTGTGGCCCAAAGTCACACAACTGAGCCCCTGCTCGCCCAGAATTGCCCAAGGCTGTCCGCTTGGACGTTGCCCAGACTGCCCAAGCGCTCTAGGCTCCTGACCCAGCCCGCTGCAGCCCCAGGGCCCTGGCCCCTTCTCTTGCTGCTCTTGTGGATGGGACGGGGTGTGCGTTTATCTACCCCACTCCTTCCCCCACTGGCCTGGGGATACCTGTAGGACGTGAAGCCTGGTCAGTGAGCAGGTCAGCCCTTCTTTGCTCCTTAGGAACTGTGTGGCCTCAGACAGGTTCCTCAGCCTTAGTATCCATTTCTGTAAAGTGGGGCCAGTCACACCCAGATACCCAGTGCTTTTCGTGCTCAGGCACGATGAGCCCATTATGTTCATTTCCTGGTCTGGACCTACAGGGAGGCGTTGGCTGTGCCTGGCCTCTCCAGAGCAGGTGAGGGCCAGGCCTCCATGCAGGCCCCTCTGGAGGCTCAAGGCCCTGGGCAGGAGAAGGGAAGGGGCCTGGAGAAGGATGAGGGCCATGGCTTGGGGAGTGAGGCCCCCAGTGGGCCACACAGCCCCATGTTACAGACGAAATGGGAGCTCTACAGGGGCTGGCGTCCACCTCACTCTGGCTGGATTGAGTGAGCCCCAGTCAGGAAGGGCGGGGGAGCCTGGATGCTGACTCAGTTTCCCCATCTCTGCCTCTCCCCTCGCTTTATCCCTTTGCTGTGCCCAGCACTTGGCTGGCCCCAGGTGGAGAGAGTGGGCAGGAGCCACCCAGCCCCCTCCCCAGGACTCTCCCCTTTGGGTTTTCCAGTCCCTCCTGTCTCTGTCTCTGTCCCTGCCCCATCTCTCCCAGGAGTTAAGTCTGACCAGAACAGTCGCAACTTCATGCATCTGATGAGGGCTAAAGGACAGCTTCTGCAGGCCAAGGGACATGGGTTCAAATCCCAGCTGTGTGGCTGCTGGCTCCTCAACGCTCTTACTCCGGCTTCCCATCTTGAGAATGGGGCAACACTGGAGTGCAGCCAGCAGGCCTGTGAATGGGGAAGAGGAGGTGGTTTCTCGCAGCATCGGCAAAGGGGTGGGGGCTGCTTTTGCTCTTGGGCTCCCTCAGGGCCCTGGTCCTTCTGTGCCAGGGGCAGGCAAGGGGGTGGGGGCCTGAGCAGGCAGAGACTGGACCTTTGTTCCCTCTTGCTGTCCTTGGCCAGGGCTGGGGAAGCCCGCGGGTGCTGGGCTGGGGGCTGGGCCCTAGACCGAGTAAGTGCCTGGCAGTGCCGGCGTGCCCAAGCACAGGGTGGGGGGCGGGAGCGGCAGTTGCCTCCTGAGCTGCCTCCTCCAATCGAGGACTCAGGGGCTTGACCTTCCATACAACCTGAAGCCAGGTGGCCTCTCTGGCCCTCAGTGTCCTCATCTGTAAAAACTCCCACCTCAGTCCTATGCCTGGCTGAGGTTCCCTTCAGCTTCCTTCCAGTGAAGACAGAGGAATAGGTGACTGGGGCTCCTGGTCCTGGCTCTGACCTTAGCCTAGGCCATGCTTACTCTGGACTGCTGATCCCATCTTGGGTCCCAGGTTCCTGCCTCATGGTCCCTCACTCTGAGTTCCTGCTGTTCCACCTTGTCTTGGCTGTGCTGTCCCCCCATGGACTCTGTCTATCCCAGGCCATCTTTGGCTGAGGCCTTGGATGCTGGTGTCTCCAGAGCTCATGGACACCTGGCTCTCTGGGCTGCATCTGCTTCATCTCTGCGCCCTCAGTTCACTCTTTCCTCTTGACCTTCTTTATGCCTCTCTCTGGGTCTCTGTTGTCTCCATCTCAGCCCAGGCCCTGGGGACCCCCTCACTTCCTTCTTAGCCACTTCTTAGCTTTCTCATGGGAGGAGGATCTGAGCTACTCACTCACTGACTGGCTCCCTCGCACATTCATCCAGGAGCCATTTCCTGTGCCTCCTGGGCTGTCCCAGGAGTGGGAACATGCCCGAGGGAAGTTCAGTGATGTCAGGCTGGGTGGCAGGATAATGGGGCCCTTAACTTGCCCTCTGAGAAATGAATCAGGTGCAACAGCAGGCGTGACTAAGGTTGGGCACGAGCAGGAACTTGTAGCACTGTGGAAGAGTCACCCCGAATGGGGTCTGACAAGGAAACCACAAAAGAGATGAACACTTCCCTAGGTGGTCCGGTTCTAAGCCTAGGGGAGAGGGAGGCAGCCCTCTGGAGAGGGCCCACCCCAATGGGGCCCCTCCCCAGAGTGCAAACATAGTCATCCATTATGAATGGGGGGGCGGGGCCAGTAGCAAGCCTGTGCTAGAAACTGCCCCCTCCCCTGCTGCCGCCCCGGACACACGCAGGCCTGCCCGGACACTGTGTGCAGCGGGCAGGGCCTCTGCATCAGTAAGGATGTGGCCAGGGCTACCCACACCCACACCCAAACCCCTGACGGAAGCCAGAGAGGCTGGTGCGGGAGCCAGGTGTCACTGGTGGGAGCATGCTAACATGTTAACCTCGGGGCACCTCAGGGGCCTGGGTGGCATTGGGGGTGTCTGGGTCCTGATCTTTGATACTTTTCTGCTGCTTGTTCTAGGCCCTCCCTCCCCAGACACAGCCCTCTCGCCTCCTCCCAGAGGCCTTCTGGGATTGGTCTCATCTGAATTCCAGTGCCCAGCAGAACTGAGAGCCCAGGGGGAGTTCAGATTCGTCCTGTTCCCCTTCACCCCATGTAGCCGGGCAAAGCAAGTCTGAGCCAGGGTGTCACAGAGTCAGTCACAGTGGAAGCAAGCCCACCCCCAACACACACAAGCTTACAGTCCTGAATCTTTTCACCCAGGTCCTGCCTCCCTCATTGGTCTAGAAGCCTTCTCCCTCTGTCCCTGTGAAGGACCTGATGCGCACGTGCACACACTGCCCCCTCATTTCTCAGACAGGACAAGCCCAAGCAGGTCTCATAGTGATGGAGGAGCCACCTGCCTCTGACTCCAGCCTCCTCTCATCAGGGTGCGGCCCAGTGAGGTCATCCCTTCCCAAGCAAGGCCATTAAAGACCATCATTAGCAACTCTCCAGAGGGAAGACGAGGCCTCAGCCCCATTGTCTCTGGTGGGCCAGATGAGCCCTGACAGGCAACGGGGGTCCCCACTCCAGCCCCTGCCGCGCCCCCTTTGCTCAGGCAGCCATCTCCTTTCCCAGGGCTGGTCTGTTGTGTACCTCCAGGGGCATCATCTCGCCTGTGGTTTCTGTGCATCTATAGCATGTCCATCCAGCGCCTCCCCACCAGCGCCTCCTCCTCTGGCCCCAGCACCCTTCTACCCCTGCTTCAAGCAAAGGAGAAGCTGCAGCCCCTTCTCCAGGGCTGGATGGGCCAGGAGGGGGGTAAGGGGTTGTGTCTAGGGGGCAAAGGAGCCCCTAAAGAGCTTTAAGCCCAGGGCTGGCTGGGTCTAGTTGTCATTAAAAAAATCCCCTAGTTTCTGAATGGAGAACAGGCTGAAGGAAGGTGTTCAGGACAGGGGATGTTGGGGAGGCTGGGACAGTCATTTATGGTGGCTGCTGGGGGCTGGACCATTGTGGCATTGGAGGAAGGGGAGAGAGAAGGACACATCTGCAGGACCCGCAGGACTTGAGCCTCATGGGAGGGAGGACTCCTGGTGCAAGCGGAGGGTCACAGCTTGTCTGACTCCATGCCCATGACCTGAATGCCAGCCACCCTGCCATGGAGAGGATGGATCTTAGCCAGGCCGTGCATGGGTCCAGGACGGAACCCTAGCCACTGGAGTCTGAGTCCCTACTCACCAGCCCCCATCCCTCACTCTCTGTGTACCCACATGCTGACCACCCAGCGGGAAGCAGCAGCCACCAGGGTCCTTCCTCATACTGGAGACTTTCCTGGGACAGCATAGCCCTGGCGGCCCCTCTCAGAGCCTCAGTCTTCTCATCTGTACAATGGGGATAAGAGTTGTAAGCTCTAAGAGGAAAAAGCAGGCTCCAGCTGCCCCTCATAGCTGTCCGGCCGGGGAGTTTCGCTGCTATCTGATCGGCTGGCAGCTCTAATTGCAGTAAGAGTAATAATAACACACACATGCATGCATAGCCCTTACTCTGGGCCAGCATGTCTGCTGACTTTACATGATAAACTCATTTAATCCTCCCTTCAGCCCTTGGAGGGAGGTGCTGATTATCCCCGGGGGGGAAATGAGGAAGCCAGCCCGGGAAGGGTCCACACTGGAGTGCATGTCTGGCTGACTCAGGAATCCCTGCTCTCAACTATCCCGGGCCTGAGAGGTCCACAGTGGCTTTGGGGCATCTGGCCCCTCCCAATCCCGACACTACCTGGGCTCCCACCTCGTGGTGGTGCCAACCCTGGGAAAGCAGCATCTTGAGGGAGGGAGCCTGCAGCCCCCTTCTGAAGGGGTTGTGATGCCTCTGTGGGTTCTGGGGCCGGGCAGGGGAGGCAGAGGAGGAGAGAGGGCATCAGCTCGGGAGGCTTGGGAGGGAGTGTCCCTGAGTGCACAGGCTGGAGGGGAAGAGACTCAGGGACATCTAATTCTAACAGGTAAGGCGGTCTGGGAGGCTTCCCAGAGAAGGGGACATCTCTGCGTGAAGATGAAGCTTCTGCTATTCCTGCCTCCAGGCCTTTGCACTTGCTATTTCCTCCCCTTGAAGATTCTGCATCCCTACCGCTCCATTCGACTGGCTACCTCTGTCTACTCTTTCCCTGAGCTTGGCTCAGATGCCTCCTCCTCCTGGAAGCC